ATGAGCATGTGCACATAACGCCAGAATGTGTGTGAGTGTGCACATATGTCAGCACGCGTGCAAGGGTGTGCACGTGTGCATAGGTTCAGTGCACGGGTCCAGCGCGGTGAGACGTCTGCCACCACCACTGCCCACGACTCGGCCCGGCCCTCTTACAAAACCGCGTGTGCATAGGTTCAGTGCACGGGTCCAGCGCGGTGAGACATCTGCCACCACCACTGCCCACGGCTCGGCCCGGCCCTCTTACAAAACCGGGGGGATTCTTGGAATTTGTTAAAATTTGGGGAATTTGCAGAAAAAGACGGCGGCTCCAGCCCAGGACGTCTGAGAAAGCTGTTTGAGCCTGGACAGGCCCGTCCACGAGCCGCGAAACGGTTCAGTGCACGGGTCCAGCGCGGTGAGACATCTGCCACCACCACTGCCCACGGCTCGGCCCGGCCCTCTTACAAAACCGGGGGGATTCTTGGAATTTGTTAAAATTTGGGGAATTTGCAGAAAAAGACGGCGGCTCCAGCCCAGGACGTCTGAGAAAGCTGTTTGAGCCTGGACAGGCCCGTCCACGAGCCGCGAAACCCGGGATAAGTGTGAAATGTAAAAGAGGAGCAAACGATAACGAGGGGTGCAGGATGCAGAGGAGCGACCTCGCGACGGGAACCACGACGCGCCGACAGACACGAAGCGACTCGCAGAGACCGAAGGGCGCCGAGCCAAGGTGTCTGCACATGCCGACGGGTGACGGCAGCGCTCGCGGAGGCGATAAACACCTCTCCTTATGTGTATTTTCGGAGCTTGGATGCATCTAGAAATGTGAAATCTCTTATTTGCTCAGTTGGATTCATGAACAAATAACATTTTTTTTTTTTAAAGCAGTGGTGCCCCCCCCACCCCGGCATTTGAAGCTGAATCTCGACGGTCAGGCCTGGATGCGCGTGCTCGGGTGAGCGGCGCTGGAGAAGGGGCGGGCCCAGGCTCTGCCCCAGGGATTTTCCAGGCTACGATGACAGACGGGAGAGAGCAGGGAGCTGCAGCAAACAGACGCTGGGAGCTGAAAGGATCGGTGCGGTGCCACTGCTCAGCAGGGAAAGTGGCCGTCCCAGCGCCAGCTCTTCTGTCAGCAGCGCGGCTGGGACAGCTTTAAGGAGGGCGCAGCATAGTTTAGGGCAGCGCCGCCCCTGCGTAGCCGGCGGGATGCACTAAAGTGCAAAGGTGGTTACTGGAAAACCCAACAAAGAGGTGATGGAAGCTGCGGCAGCGGCAGGGCAGTCAGGAGTCGCGGTGTCGACAGTGCCCATGCAGCGGGGAGAGCTCGAACGGCCTCACGCGTGTAGACAAGTAGCTCGTGTTGCGTGCGGTGGCACTGGGAAGCCCAGCAGCAGCTGCAGCGAGATAGGCGCACGAGCCAGCTAGGAACATGCCCTTCGTGGCAGCATTTCCAGTTGATGCTTGAAGGGCCCTTTGTGCCTGAAGCAGTCTCATGCCTCTCCCCACAATACAGCTGGTCCAATAAAAGGTATTATTTAAAAAGAAAAAAATGCTTCTCATATATTTCCTTGTCTATCGTGGCTGCAACAACTTTAATAACAACTCCGTTTGAAATGCGGGGACGTCTCATTTATGATCAGCTGGCAGCTCTTCCCCTTTGGTGGATAGGGAAATAGGAACAAGCGTTTATTTTGCCTCCGGCAGATGGCAAGCTTGAGCTGTCCTGGGGAAGAGCCTGCTCTCAAGGTGAGATGGCTTTGGTGTTTCTTTGCCTCTCCTCGTGGGGCTGAGCTCTGGCTCCCTCCAGCTCGAGCAGCAAGAGGATGTGCCCCAGGCCAGGGGGCTCAGCCAGCTGTTATCCTTTGGGCTTCCCCAGGTGTCCTGCTCCCTGACTCCCTGTGAAATGGGAGACTGAAATGGGAGCAAGTTAGAGACCAGCTGCAGGGGAGACTGACTGCTCAGCACTGTGCAAAACTGGAGGAAAGGGGCAAGCCCAGAACCAGATAATCCAGCAGGCCCCGTTCCCACTGCAGCGTGGGAATGCAGGTGCAAGCTGACATAGGCTGGCCCACTGCCCACAGCAAGGGGCTTTGCCAGCAGTGCCAGCCACCTCGAGCACGCACCGCGCACCGAGATGGGGGACGCAGGATCCCCGGCTCTGCCTCCTGACTGAGTCTGCTCCAGTCCTTGCAGCCACCTACCTGCATGTGCTGCACCAGGGGACGAGCCCCGCTCAGCTCAGGGGCATCTGAGCTGGGGTGGGAGGGAGGTTAACAGGGGGCTGCAATTCTCCAGCACCGTGTGGGCCCCTCTGGCGCTGCCCTGCCCCACTGGGGGTCTCGCCTGCGCTGTGCACAGCCAGGAGCTGGGGGCCGCGCTCTCTCCCGGCCACGTGGAGGGGTTTCAGCTGAGTGAAGCCCCCCCCCCGGGGCCCCCCGGCCAAGCCGCCTGCAGCCCCACGCGGATGGTTCTCTCCCCAATACTGTCCATATATGGTGGCACAAGCGGCAGGGAGATGCTGCCAGTTGGATGCAGGAGCAGGAGTGACCTGCGCGGAGGCACAGCGACCTTTCTCAAGGAACAAAGACGGAGTGGGAAGGGCAGAGTCACAGGGGGGAGGCCGGTGACTCGGAGCGGAGCTGGACAGCAGCCACGGGACGTGCCTGCCGGAGGGGAAGGGGCCAGGAGGGTGCTTGGGAAGGGCAGAGAGGGGGTCAGGGAGGAGCAGGGCATTGCAGAGACTCCTAACATGGGTGCCGTGCAGCCAAAACACGTGTACATTTGCACACACACACCTCTCTCTCCCAGCACTCGCTTGCACGCACCATGAGTGCAGGACTCACCCACCCCCCTGCAGGGGATCCCCGCAGTGGGTCCACGTCCCTCAGGGCACACGTAGCTGGGGGTGCAGGGACACGCCTAGGGCCCCTGCTCGGGATGTGACAGCTCCCAGCCTCTGGTCACAGCTGCAGCTGTGCGCCCCGGGGGCACAATCATTTGTGCCACCACGTGCGACAGCCCCGGCTCCCTTCATCCCCAGCAGCTGCTAGCGGCTCAGATCCAGGCCCCCTGCGCTGGCTGTGGGGTTTCTGCTTGGCCAGCGTTGCAGGGATGGGGGTGGAGGTATCCAGTCAACACCCCCCCTCCCGTTACGCAGTCCCTGCCCCAAGGGATCCGGCCTTTTCCTGCCATGCCGTGACATTGCTGGCAGCTAAATTAAGGCTTATGAAAGCAGCAGCAGCAAGTGGACTGGGCACGGCCTGCCCGGGGCTCCCCTGCTCCGCTGGGAGGACGCTGCCCACTCCGGGGCTATCGCGTGCCATCGCTCTCCCACGAGCCGCCTCGGTTCTTCCCTATGAACGCCCGGCTAAAAATAAAGCCGGAGATAAGACCCCGGACTCGCCGTTCCCCCAGCCCGAGACTCCAGCCCAGGAGAGGGGAACACCTGAACCTCAAGTCACGTCCCACCCACCGGGAAAGCCCGTGGAGAAGGACCGAGCCCCCGGCCGCCAGTCTGCCCCGTCCTGCAGCGGGAGGTGGGGATGTCTGGAGCCGGCGCACGGCCCCCAGCCGTTGCGAAACCCGGCAGCTCTGGTTCCCGGCCAGCAATGCTTGTACGGACGTGCTAAGAGAAGGGCAAGTTGCCCCAGGGCTCAGGCCCACGGCAGGGGTGCAGGAAGCCCAGCTGGGGCATGCCCGGCCTCGAACACCCCGTCACCCCGGGGCCAAGAGCTGTGCAGGGGGAGAGAGGGGTGCAGGGGCGGCTGCTTTCCCCGTCCTGCCCAGCTGCCTCTCTCCCCCTTTCCTGTTTTCCGCCGGCTCTCGGGGGACCCGTGTGCATGACATCACCCCGCCCCCTCCCGTAAATCCAGCCCCGCGCGGCGCGTCCCGTGACCCGCTCCTGACAGGGATGAAATCCAGATGTTCCCGCGCGACGTGCAGCTGGGCCCTTGCCTTTTTTGGTGAAAAACGTGAGGCGCCGGAGCCCAGCTGGAAGAGGAGCCCGGGGGCCCTCTCGCCAGGAAGCCTGCTGCGGTTAAGCCCTGGGAACAGCGCAGGCTGCAGCGCGTGGGCCGAGCCACGAACGAGCGGCTGCGCTGGAGCCGGCGGCTGTTCGGCCTCCAGCAAAGAGCCAGCAGCCCCGGGGACCCACAGCCTGGCTTGGGTCACGGGGCAGCAGGAGCACGGAGGTCCCAATGGAGCACGATGCTCTCGCGAAGCTGCTCGGAGCCGGAGCCAAGGGTGCGCGGGGCCGCGTCCTTCGTGCCGCGCAGCCCCCGGCTTCTTCTGTCTGGAGAGCGGCGTCGCCGCACCGTGGGGGCCGGAGGTGGGGACCCCGTGGCCCAGAGCGAGCCGCGATGGGGAGACGTCACCTCCAACGTCATGGAGAGTCATCGAGCTCTGACGAAGCCGCCGGCTGCTGCTGGGGACCGGCAACCCTGCGTGGGCCAGCAGATGCAAGGCCCCCTTTCGACCGCATTCGTCCCAACCATCGTCTCCCCGGCCCAGAGAAACCCCCCAGAGCACGTTGTCCCAAAGAGGTTTATTACACAAAGCCGTACAGAGACAGACGCGAGGAGGCTGGGCTCAGGGCGCTTCTCTGGGAAGCTCCCCGGGGCAGAACACAAAGCACCCACCACCTCCGACGTGCCTGCGTCAAAGCTGTCACCCGAGGGGCTCCGCCAGGCCCTGGCTGCCCGTAGAGGAGCGAGTTGCATGCATAACACTGTGCGGGGCCCGCAGCACCAGTGGGCCATGGCTGCAGGACAGAAGCGTGCGGGGAGTGTGCGAGGGAGGCGCATGCAGGGGAGCGTCCGGCTGCCTGGGAGGGGCTGCAGCAGGGCTTGGTGTGAGCGCCTCGGGGACCACCGGAGCAGGGTGCAGGGCGGGCGTGACGGCGGAGGGGAGCTCTCAGACCCTTGTCTCCCCCGCCCCAGTCCCCGAGGGTGCAGAGAACAGGACCATAGGGCTGGAAGGGACCTGCAGGAGAGAGCACAGGGGACCAGATCCTTCACCTCCCACCCAGGCAGCTGGGGCTGCAGCCTCCACCGTGACTACTGCGAACGCAGCTCCTGCTCTGCCCAGCCCCGGCGCGGTCCTTCCCGGCACGCTCCTTGCGGCACTCATGCACAGGCCGTGTGCGCACAACAGTTGCGTGCCTTTTGCAAGCACGTGGGGCATCAAGGATGTTGCCAGCAGCTCGGCCAGACCAAAGCAGGCTGCGCCATGGGAGGAGGAATGACCCGGGGAGCTGGGGAGCTCACAAGCAGGGTGCAGCCCTTGCCCAGAAACGCCGCCAGGAGCCAGGGCTGCATCCGCTAACGCAGGCATACGCCGCATGGGAAGGAGGGATCAGGGTGGGGAGAACCCAGGGGGTGGGAGAGCTGACCCAATGCAAAGTCCCTCGCAGCAGGGCTCTGGCAGCCAGCACCCATGAGCGGCCCAGGGGGGCAAAAGGCTGCATTAGCATCGCAGGAAGGGGCTGTGCTGCAAAGCTGAAGCCCGGAGAGACCCAGCCATATGCGGGTGGAGGCTGCTGGGTGCTGGGCAAAGCAAGGGGAGGAGGAGAAAGCCAGCAGCATGCAGCAAGGAAGGAGGCTGTGCCGCCAGCGTGCAGAGCCCAGGCCCGCCCTGCCCGGCTCCTGCGCTCAGGTGGGGCTCGTGGCCCAGCCAGCGCCCGAGCGATAGCAAGCGAAAGAAAAGGTTAATAACGATGGGCACAGAAGCTCCTTATTTTTTGCTTAGATCCAGCCTCGGCAGCGGGGAGCAGCCACGGGGGGTCATCCTCCACCCCTCCAGGCAGCCCAACACGCGATGGGGGGCAGCCGGGGCCCCGGGGCCGGCCGGCGGGGCTCAGAGGTCGCTGCTGCAGTCGCGGCACAGGATCTCATCTTTGTCGGGGATGAAGCCCTTGCCGACCAGCGAGGTGTTGCAGCGCGCGCAGTTGAAGCAGTTGTGATGCCAGTGGCGCTCCTCGAAGGAGACGTATTTGCCACCGCCAAAGCCTGCGGGGGAACGGAGAGGGACAGAGCACGGGTGAACGGGGCACGTGGCCACGCTGCAAGACCCCGAGCGCCGCGTGCTCTCCCCTCCCCTCCCCACCTCCCCGCTCACCTGTGATGGGCTTCAAGCAGGCGCTGCACTTCTTGGCATAGAGGTTGCCGAAGCAGTGGATGCAGTAGGGGTTGTCGTCCTGGGAGGTGAACTGCTGCCCAGCCAGGGGCGTCTTGCAGCCGGTGCAGACGAAGCACTCCTTGTGCCAGGGCTCGTCCCGGTAAGTCACGCCGCCCTTGGTCAGAGACTGGCGGAGAAGAGAGAGCACCAGTTACCCTGAGGCCGTTGCATGCCCTGCCCTGCCGGGAGCAGCAAGCAGACAGCAGTCTGGAGCCCCCTTCCACCACAGCAGCACGGGGGCTGCGAGGAGGACATGGGCAGCCTGCCAGCCCCGCAAAGAGATGCAAAGGCATCCCACGGAGCCAGCCCAGTGGCCCCCGTGTAAGGGGACCCTTCGCTCTGCCTCTTCCCCGGAAGGAGACTCCAGATCTGGTACAGACAGCGGGAGCCAGACGGTGCTCAGGAGAGCACGATGCACCGGGACAAAACACGGAGGGAAGGGTGACCCCCGGAAGCGCTGGGCACACACTGAGCTGAGCTCCCACCTCTGCTTGAGTCTGGCACTGGAGCAGCGTCCAGGCCGTACCTTTTTGCAGCGAGTGCAGCGCGGAGCAAACTTGCTCTCGTAGCACGGGATGCAGTAGTAGTCCTTCTTGTCGGGGATGAAGGACCGTGATCCGATGGGCTGCTGGCAGCTGCTGCAGATGAAGCAGTGCTCGTGCCAGGTCTGCCCGTTGTACTCCAGCTTACGGGACCCTGTGGGGGGAAAGGGCTGGGCTGAGCAGGCCGCGCAGACGGCACGGCTCCACGTGCCTCTCCCCACCCCACCACCCTCCTGCCAGCCCGCTGCGTCAGGGGTGAGTTTAGATGATGGGTTGCACAGGGCTTGGACGAGATGTGACCTCTGGAGATCCAGCTCCACCCTCTAGGATTTGAGGAAGCCGGTTCCCCGGTGCAGGCTCCATCCCAACGGGATGCCTGGGAAAGCCTGTGCAGAGACGCAGCCCCCCAGGGTACCCCTGCAGCAGGGAGAGCTCTCCAGAGGGCTGGGGATCCCTCACTCAGCACCCAAGCAGGCAGGCAAAGCCAGGCAGCACCCCAACCCCACTTGCAAGCTCCCTGGAATCTCCTGCTCTCAGCATCAACCCAACTGCACCCCATCACCCTTTCCTCCAAAGCGGGGAATGCTGCCGACATCCTAGCCCCGAGCTCTCGGTGCGACGCTGCATGCTCCCCCGTTCGAGCATGCCTTGGGGAGGGGGCAGCAGGCTCTTGAACAGCCCTCGGAGGGGCCCAATATAGATGCCCCGGCCAGCCCCGCGCCCCTACCTGGCATGACGGTCTTCTCGCAGGCGATGCACTTGGAGGAGAACTCGCTGCAGTAGCAGTCGTTGCACAGCAGCTCCTCGTCCTGGCAGGTGAAGGGCTCGTCGGCCAAGGAGCGGTCGCAGCGGAAGCAGCGGAAGCAGTGCTCGTGGTAGTGCCGGTCCTCGTAGTACAGCTCCTGCAGGGACAGCAGGCGGGGGCGCGTCACCCACAGCCGGGGCCTGGGGAGGGGAAGCCCCGCCGGGCAGAGCCTGCGCGCACTCACCCGGCAGTCGTGGCCGATGAGCTCCTTGCATTCATCACAGGTGTTGGCGAAGTGGGCGTCGTAGCAGGGGATGCAGTAGGGCCCATCGTCCATCTGGATGTACTTGCGCCCGTACAGCGACTCCTTGCAGTTGTCGCAGTCGAAGCACTCCGTCATGGTGCCGCTCTGGGGGGGACCGCTCTCGCCTGCTGGGAGACACCGCGGCCCGGGGAGGCACCCCTCCCCTCCCCTGTGACCCCTCGGGCAGGATGCAGTTCTCCGCGGGGCAGAACAATCACCCGCTCCCGTGCCACAGTTCCCGTGTCATCCCCGTGCTGCCCTCCCACGGGACCAAGCCTCTCAGAGCAGGCGGCTGGGGCTCGCCTCGCAGCACGCTCGCCGGGCCATTCCCGGGCCAGCACCCCGGCTGGCCAGCTGTTGCCGCGCCTGCTGCACGAGGAGATAGCGCTGCTGGTGAATGAGGCTACTGTTCCCCCAGGGCTAAGTGACAGATAGGGAACAAAGTCTCTTTTCAGACCCACGCGTTAACCAGCTGCTTCCCTGTCCCACCTCCCTCCCACCCGGGGCATGTGGCCAGCAGAGGCGTGGGGACACCTGCACGTAAAGCCTCGCTGTCAGCCATCTCTCATCCTCCGCAAGGAAGCTGTCAAGGTACCTCCAAAGGGCAAAGCCACAGGCACTGTGAGCAAATCAGGTCATGCCTGCTGCACCCCAGCTGAGAGTGCAACCTGCCAGCTGAGCTCCTGCAAGCACCGCAGCCCAGGGGCCGCACCTGGCCCTGGCACAGGGCACCGCTGGAGCAGCTCCAGGCAGCAGGCCAGGCCCTGCAAGGCTGATGCAGAGGAGCGTGCCCCCAGAGCAACTCGCTGGACAAAAGAGCCCTGCCTCGTGCTCCAGGATCCCAGTCAGGACCGAGGGAGAGGCGCCCCCACGCTCGCAGGCTACGCAGGCACCTGGACTGCCGGCCACCGCTCCCTCGACAGCGCACGATGCCTCTCAGACCAGAGGGCGGTCAGCATTCACCAAGTCAGACCCGGCGCTGGCTACCATTGCAACCGCGGCCAGGCCCAATGCAACAGCAAGTCCCAGGACCGGAGCCCTTCAAGCCCCAGCGCTGCCTGTCCTGTGCCCAGCTTCGCCGCTGCACCCCCACGCCGACCCAGCGATGCCGCGAGGAGTCCAACGAGCGCAGCGCCCTGCTCCCGGCAGGCTGCTCTCACATGCTGCGGGCTGGGGAGCCCAGGTGTGCACACCTGTGAGCAACAGCGAGCCACCGCCTTAAGGAGGGGCCCAACCGGCCGTAGACGTGAGGTCTGCTGGCAGAGCACCAGCCGCCCCAGCCTACTGCGGCCCCTTGCTGGGGGGCACGGGCTCGGAGCGCAGCCCGTGCCGCTAGGCTCAAGGGCCCGGGTGCAAATCCTGATGCCTCCCACATCCCAGCTGGCAGGCCTTGCATTGCCACGTGGGCACTCCCTGCCTGTTGCTGCTGCTCCGCGGTGCCCAGCACCAGGCTGTCTCACCAGGGTGGAGCGCAGCGAAGGAGCACAGCTGCCAGGAGAGGCAGCCCCGGGGCTCTCACGGGGCAGGGGCTGACAGACCAGGCTCGGCTTTCCCACTGCCCTTTCCAGGAGGGGAGCTGCAGATAAGCTTGCTGGGGGGTGTTTGTGCTAGATAAGCTGCTGGAAGGCAGCTGTTTGCTCCCTTTGTTCTGGGCTCGCACACAAAGCAGGGCAGAGGTGCCAAGCCGGCAGGCAGGGCCAAGGCAAACACGGTCTCTCTCAGAGATCAGGGCGCAAAAAAGCGAGACAAAGCAGCTCAGTCTGAGCAAGAAACGCCAGCTGGGAGCAGCTCCGAGAGAAAAGCTGCACCTTTCCTGCGTGTCTGAGCCCGGGATGGCAAGGGGCCGTGCAGGTGTTTGCTGAGAGGGCTGGCTACGCAGGGCACGGGGCCACGGACCCCTGGTCCGGACGGACCCACGGGATGGAGCAGGCACAGGGTCACGTCCCCCCGTCTTGAGGTGCTGTCATCGGGTTCAGCCCCGTCGCCGTGCCCAAGTCACGGGGTCCGTGAGCACCCGGCTTTGGGAACGAGAGCCCCTACGCGGCTCCCGGCCTCCCCTCGCAAGCCCCTGTTCGAGCACATCGGCCCACGAGCCCCACAGCAGCGAAGCCACGGCTCCTGGAGACACCCGCGCTCGTGCCCGTGACCTCGAAGGGGAGCAGGCACAGACCATCCCAGGCTCGGCTGAGGCCGCTCGGACTCCAATTGCAAGGCCGAGAAGCTCGTGCTACGACAGGCTGCTCCGGCCACGGGCCGTGCTGACACCGGACGCCAGCAGCCCGGTGAAACCCCACACCGCCAGCCGTTGTTTGTTACCACGTCCCCGCCAGCTGCCGGCGCAGCCCCGGGAGGCTATTCCTAGCACAGATTTAATCTCTCGGGGATGCAGGAACAGGCCTGCCGCGGCAGCTCACGTTTCAGGTTCCCATCTATTCTAATCCGCCCGGGGTTGCTCGGAGCAGGGCACTCGACGTCTCGGCAAACAAGGGGCTCTTCCATGTACGGACGCGTCTGGCCGGGGGGTGGAGGTCCATCCGGGGAGGAACCCAGGCGCTTTTGGGTCCATTAGCCGCCCAGAAGCACGTGCAGGCTGGGCGGGCGTGAGACGGTCCCCGATCCCTTGGTGCTAGGTGGGAGAGCGGCTGCTGCGCGAGGCGAGGGGCAGCTCTGTCCCCTTGCAGAGCAGCCGGGAGGGTTTCCCCCCGTCCAGCCCTGACCTAGTGCTCGTGCTGCCCCCCACCCAGCGAGATGGCCCGCCGGTGGTCTCAGCCCCACGGGCCCTGCTTCCAGCTCCCTCGGGGCCATTTCCCCCCGCTCTGCCCCAGCCCAGACGCAGCTCCTCCAGCCGTAGGGAGGCTGCGGCACTGATTTTGTGACACTGCCCCAACGGGGGCAGAGGAAGGGCTTGTGCTGCAAAGGGGAGAAGCCAGATCTGCCCCCGGTGTGCTCACACCATGCCCCGAGGGACACAGCTGGGGCTGCCAGAGGCACACAGACCTCCTAAGGAGAGAGCGGCTGCGCATGGAGAGCAAGGACGTGCGCATCTCCGGGAGTTTGGGCTCTGAGAAGCCAGCATGAGTTCGCGGACCTTTGCCCTCCGGTCCTCGCTTCTCCCTCCGAGGAGAAGCCAGCAGCGTCCTATGTGACAGGAAAACCTCTTGCCCAGAACCCGAACCCGAACCCTAACCCTCTTCTCCAGAAGACGTTGCGACGCAGGAGACCAGATCACGTAGCCTGTAACTTCCCCTCTCTGGAAGAGTCGCCGCCTCCTGTCTGCACTCGAACGGGACTCTTCTCCACCAAGCCACATCGGCATCTGAGGCTGCGTTTCCCACCCGCGATGGAAACTGTCTTCTTGCATCTTTCCCCGCATAGCCACCGCCTTGGCCTGCGGACGCGGTAGCCAGCCAGCTTGTTACCTGGGTGGAGGAGGAGGCAGGGCAGGGCAGAGCCAGCGAGGGGCCAGGACAGCTCAGGTGCGAGCAAGAGGGAGACCCCGGGGCTCGCTCTGAGCCCAAGGGAACCGAATGCTAGCAACAGGAGTCCGAATAAGAAGACACCGACTGGCCCTGTAGCCGATGGACAGCACCTGCTCAGGAAAAACAAAGCAGGGAGACTGAAAATAAAATGTACGACTAGACCCAGGCGCATTTATGCTCCTGTTTAGAGGAGTCTGAACGCAGCCCCCACTCCTCGAGGAAGGGGTTCGCCGGACGTCCCAGCTACCGAGGGCTGAGCTGTAAAATACACCCAGAACAACGGCCCCACCAACATGAAAACCGCTCGAGGCCGGGGCCTGGTTCAGGGGATCGGCTGTTCATCTTGTGCAAAAACATCTCTGACGCCGGCGTCCAGCGGGACAGCGGGACTTGGAGCCCCTCGGATCAGTCACGAGTCAAACGGGCCGTTTCCTCGGAGGGGGAGCAGAGGAGCGAGATATAAACACACGAGGAAGCTCTCCGCAGCTGGACGGCAGCCGTCTCTCCAGACGGTTAAGAAATCTGCAGGCCCAGACATCGCCAGAGGAGACTGTGATTCACTCTCCTTATCTAGGGCAGGGGAGGAGAGGAGAGGAGAGGAGAGGAGAGGAGAGGAGCAGACACCCAAACCGTCTGCCCTCCGGAGACGCGTTCCCCGAGCAGATGAGGGTCTCCTGCCTGCGAGTCTGCAGCAAGTCTGCTGTGAGGGAGCTCACGGGGTCGGCTGCAGCCTGCGGGCATCGTCCATCAGCACGTGCCCGGAGGGCTGAAGCGGAAGGGAGGTGCCCCGGGCAAGCACGAGAGCACACAGTCGATGGACTCTGGCTCGGGGAAAAAGCCTGCTGAGGCCAGTGCTTGAATAGGAGGAAAGAGCCAGCTTGCGACTGCTCTGCGAGCTCCGGCTCCTTTCTCCCCACAAGCGCATTAGTCATCCCTCTCGGACCGGGGGCAGTGAAGGTCTGTTTAATTATGGCAACAGTGACGTCCGGAGCCCGAGTCTCCAGGGCGCTCCCCCGCCAGCTCCATGTGCTCCTATAAAAGGTGGACGCTGCTGTGCTCCCCCAGCACCCACGGGAACTGGGCCACGTGGCCACGCTGAGCGGTGGTCTCCACGTCACAGACCTCCCTGGCCTTTCCAGCGGCGCGGGGTCCCCTTCCAGCAAGGCTGCTCCCCAGCAGCACACGGCCTGGCCGGCCAGGCATCCATCGCTGCTTAGGAGGCAATTGGGAGGCAGAGACCCATTTCAGGTCTCCAAGTCAAGGTGATGGGGAAGGGGGAAGACTTGGAAGAGGAAAGAGAGCTGAAAGCAAGGGACAGAGAGGCCTGCTGTTGCAGGGTGAAGGGTTTGCATTAGCAGTGCTCTCCCTCGGTCCCCTTCTCATGCACATCCCCGATGGTGGCATGCGAATCCCAGGACCTGGGCTCCAGGGGCAGCTCAGCTGCAGAGGCTCCGGAGGAGGGGAAGGGGAGAGCCACGCGACGTGGAGCGTGCACATTGCTGCGGGGCGGTGGTCTGGCAACACGAAGCTTCTTGCTGCTCTGGAGCTGGAGAGCCAGGGAAAGGGTCCCCAGCGAGAGGTCCCTGCAAGGCAGAGGGAGATCACGGAGAAGCCCAGCAGACGTGAAGCGAGTGTGCTGTCCTGAGGATGTGCATCAGGCTGCCACGCGCTGAGGTGATGGGGCAGGACGGCAGCCGGACACCGGAAAGGCCTCACTCCCTCTGTCCACAAGACATTTCCACGGACACCCAGGTCCCCGCACACCAAGCCCCAGTGCGGTCACCGGCTCCAGCCGACGTACGCCAAGTGGCACGCCACATCACCGTGCTCACAACGCTGGGCCCAGCCTGGGGCCTCCCTCGCACTCAGCACACGACGGTCCCACTGTCCCTTTTGACCCTGGCACTTCTCGCTCGCTTGGGTTTCACCTCGTGCTCAATATGAGCCGAGTCCTGCAAAGACTGAGCACCTCAGGGCTTCAAGGCTGCCCGACGGCTGCGTGTGCCGCGGCGCTGGAGACGGCTCCGTCAGGACCCGCATCTCCAAGAGAGGATCCAGACATCGGGGGTAGCTGAAGCCTCGCACCGGAGCTGCCACCACGACCGGGAAACATGTCTGAGTCCGATCTCGTGGCGTTGTCAGCTCCTCCGTCCACCCCAAGCACCAGCCTGCTCCGGGGCGCCTGGTCTCCTCTAGCAGCTGAAGCCCGGCTCAAACACGAAGCATCCTGCCCGTGACGGGGAAGGTACCGAGACACGACACTTCAGGCTCTGTGATGAAGAGCGATGGGCGCAGGCAGCCGAGAGGACCGGACAAGGCCCCAGGGATGCTCGTGGAGAGAGCAGGCGTGAGCGGAGACGAGGCTAGCTGCCCTGCATAGCGCTGCTGCTATTAAGCTGTGGAATTGCACGTGCTCAAGCCCTTTTCCCTTGCCGTCTGCTCCGGAGCCCGTCAGCGCCGTGCAGTGGGTAATTGGTTATGTGATTACAGTCTCATGCAAAGGAGAGGGCCCTTTGCAGGCACTGGCACTGCCCGGCATACAAATCATCCCCAGCGGTTACGTGGAGGGAAATGCACCCGACAGAGATGGTGCAGAGAGAAACGGTCTCACGACTGCTCGTGAGCTGCCTGCAGCCAGGCCAGGAGAGAGCCCAGCATCATCCTCAGGAAGACGCTCCCCTTGCCTTTCCACTGCTGCCCACACGCCCGCTTTAAAGGCAGAAGTCCGCATGTGAGAAGAGCCAGTCCAGGAGAGCTGGGGAGCTGCACACCCAGCTCCTCGGAGAGAAAAATGCAGAGCCCAGACTCCCCGGGGAATCGATGGAGGCAGGTGAAAGCCTGCACCTGGTGCTAAATTGTCACGTGTATTTCCATAACGCCAATGCAAGGGGCTGTGCGAACAAGCGAGGCACAGCCGCACCCCAACGCGCTTGCACGCTATAAATATTTTACAATCTAGGCCAGAGGTTGGCTGGCAGCCTTTTAGCAACGGCAAGCTGAAGTAGCACGGCCCCATCCGAAGGTGGGCGTCCGCTGGCAACCTCACTGCCAATTACTGCGGGCTGCTCCCACCGCCGGCGTCCCAGCTCCACAGGCTGGATGCAACCCAGCACAACGCCGCGGTCCTGCTCTGGGGTGCCAGGCTCTGCTCAGCCGCTTCGCTTTTGGGGGCCACACGTGTCTCTTCCTGCACAGCATCCCACGGAAGAAAGCAGCTCCTCGTGCTTCCCTAGGATGCTCCTGCCGCAACAACCGCATGGTGCAGTCTTGCCTCCCGCCCCGTGCAACGGCATCACGTTGTTGCGCGCAGCTCCCCCTCTTCCACCTGGCTGCATCGCAGTGCCGGGTGAATCGAGCCTCACCTCTAGCTGCCTGGGTAACTCAAGCGAGCATGTGCGCAACCCTCCATGATCTCTGGATGAACACCGCTGTGGCATGACGCTCGTACCCAGGCGTGGGAGGATCTGCTCCGGGCATGCGCCTGAGCGAGCATCCCCTGAGCTCTGCAAACAGAGCGCCTGGCATGGAGACGGCTGCAGGGCACGTGCCCTGCAGTCACGTGCAGCAGAGCCAGTCCGCGGGGCCTGAAGCCAGCTCTCCTCCGTAGCCACCTTCGCCGCAGTGCCCGGCAGCGCTTGGGTTGATGGAGGGCCTGCTCAGCTCGTAAACATCTTGATTTAAGGAGTCCTAGGAGCATAAATCGAAGTGTCTGCGTGCAAGTTTTTCTGCCTTCTTCTTCCTTCCAGGCCAGAAGGGAATTTTTTCCCCAAATTTGGTCAAACTATTTGCTGCGGACTCCATTCCTTGTGTCCCGGGGAGCAGCGTTTGCAGCCGGCATGGTCCGTGCAGCCGGGCAACATGCAACCTCGCGCCCTCCTGCTGTGCTGTGGTCCTAGTACACCCCCTGCCCCCCTCGGGCTGTGTTCCCCCGAGGTGTCTTTGCAGCGGGCAGGACGGGGGGCTGGCGAGAGGCAGAGGGGAGAGAAGGGCCACCCTCACCAACCCTCCACCCAGACTCCCCCACTAGCGTGCTCCTCTCGCTGCAGGGCTAAGTGCAAGCCCCCCTTTTTGCTGCCCTTTGCAGAAGTCAGCCATGTCCCAAGCATGTTTTACAGCTGCCGGCGTCCCTCGCAAGCGCAGGAAATTACAGCTGCGCAGCCCCGGCATGTCGGCAGCTTCTAAATCGGGCGAAGCGCCGAGTGCCAGCGAAGGGGGATAGTCTCGGGTTACCTACCCCCCCGCCACTGGTTTCTTGTGGTCCAAAACAAAGCTCCGTTGCCCGGCAGTCGCAGCACGTGCCCACCGCAGCCTTCCTCGGCTGGGGCAACGTGGCCCGCGGGGCAAGATCGGGAGCGGTCAGGAAGCGAGAGCAGAGATGGCCCCGGAGCACTGTGTGCAGGGAGAGGCTTTCTTCCCTTCCAGCGCAGGGCTGCAGCCACTTTACTGCAGACCCATCTGGAGTGAATTACTGCCACGGTCCAGATCTGGCCATTTGCAAGCCGCTCTGCTCTGCCGCAGCGTTTCCCCTCTGTTTTCTTACATACCCAGCGTTTTAAGGAGCTCTGGGCAGTGGCAACGTGCTCCACATAGAGCATTATAGGCAATAAAACAGCTGAGCAAAAGTCTGGAAAGTGTGCAAGAAGCCTGTGTGCTCCAGCATGCAGCGGGGCCGTGCCGTTGGCATGTGAGAAAGGGCTGTCAGCCCAGAGGGCGAGAGGACCGGTGTGCCCAGAACAGAGGCGTCTCCCCCAGCAGCAAGGGGCTGCATTAACTCCCCAGAACCTGCCCCCCAAATGCTACCGAACCTCACAGGGCTAGTGCCCCTGCTACCCGCACCTCGGGCACCTGTCCTGGGCAAGACAGCCTCCAGCAAGGACTCCAGGGGGTAAAGCCCTGGGAGCGCACACTGCCTCTTCATCTCTCCAACAGCTCTCCTGGCACGGCAGCTTTCTGCCTCTCTCTAGGCCCCGCGCAGATGCAACCACGATGTTTCCGAAGCCCGGGAGCCCCTGCCCTGCAGCCTGATGCCCATTTCCAGCATTGCATCCTCATTCAGCAGCAACCAAGAAGCTCAGGTGAGCTTACGGGGCTGTAGGCAAAGGCGCCCGGGAAGCGTGCACGGAGCAAGTGACAACGGCACGCCGCAGGACAGGATTTTAACTAGCTGCGACCCGGCCAGCCAGCACGGCAGGCAGAGGGGCTGACCTCCCAGACGCGGCGAACACCTTGTGTGTGCACAGATAAGCACCCGGTGCAACCGTGCATGAGATGAAAAGAGTTTCCAAGACCGTCTGTGCAACTCGGTGAGCGATGGGAGCCCAGAGTCCCGCTGTGCCCCCCACCAAGCCAAACCCAAAATGAGCTTTGGGTAAAGAGACTGCCCCAGGCTGCCCGAGCCCTACTGAGCACTCCCTTGCCCAAAGCAGAAAGTTACCTTGCATGGCTGGCTGCGGGGGGATCGGCAAGGAAAGCAAAGGGAAGCCCGCCTGTCCCGGGGCGGCAGCCGCGCTGGAGTCGGCTGCAGCAGGTGTGCTGGGAGACGGCGCCCCAGTCAATCCCGGCGCACCAGCAAAACACTGAAGTGCTCGCCCAGAAACAAAAGCAGTCGCATCATAAACCGGGGGCTGACATCAGCGCAGGAGTAGCGTTTCCGAGAGAGGTTCAGGTTTCATCACACGGGGCTGGAGCCTGGGCTCTTGCCACTCAAGGTACTCTGCATGTGCACAGGAGGCACACGTGGCCCTGGCCCCGGCGACGGGGCAGAGAACGCGTTTCTGGGCACACCGAGAGCAGAGGAAGCCGGCGAGCCACCCTCCTACTGACCCTAATCCTGCCGAAGCAAACCCCGCTCTGACTCGAGCGGGGATGATGCGCTGCTTGAACTGAACGGTCTGTGCCGAGCCCGAGTCTCGAAACCCGCCGGGCAGCGTAGGGGCTCCTGCTTGGCACCGTGGCTCTGCATCTCTACAACCAGCGCTCACACCCTGAAGCCAAAATTGTCCCATTCGCTTTACCGGCGGTTGCAAAGCACATCTTGCCCGCCCTGAGCCCCCCGGTGTCTGTCGGAGCCTCCAAGGGAGAGCCCCGTGTGTGAGGTTTCTGCTCCAGCTCCGCGGGACATGCTCATCTTGCTGTGGCTGACGGGACCTGCTTGGGTCGGCAAGCCCGCTTCACGTGGCCAGGCTTGCTCGGACCACATTGCACACTCCTCTTTAATAAAGGCTGCAATAATCCCACCTGGCCCGGCACTCTCTGAAGGGACCCTCAGGGACGTCTCTCTTGGTACCACCGTGTTTCCTGAGTCGGCGGCAGCCGCTCATGATACGGGTGGGTGTTTTTGGGGGTGGATTTCTATGCACCGAGTGCTGGCATGGACGGCCACATGCTCGCCCGTCCCTCCAGGACCGAGGCGTGGGTAAGGGCAGCTCTCGAAGGAGGAGTGGCTTCTCCAGTAGGAAAGGGACTTCTCCATCCCATCGCCCACCAAAGACCACACACACATATTCTGTGGGTCCGGTTGTGCATCACCTCCCCGACAGTTACATCACTTCGCGCACACCTCGCCCTCGCGGCACCTCCGCGCGGCAGGGCAGTCCATCATCTCCAGGCTGCCACGGCTCACGCCGGCGACACGAGGCAGCGAGTCTCTCGGTCCCTGCCCGGGGAATACACAGGCAAGGATGCACCACAGACCCAGCCCTGCCAGAGTCCTCCCTCCCTTGCTCCGCGTCTCTCTTGTGAATGCACCCCGGGCCTGCACCCCGAAGGTCCCCAGAGGCACCCCGCTTTGCAAGGAGAAGCGGGGCAAGCAAGGAGGGACGCGGGCGTGTAGAATTAGGCTCCTCCGGCCGCAGCGAGACCAGACATCCCTCCGCCTTGTCCAGCTGCTAAAGCGGGGCAAGCTTCACACCGACGAGGCACGCTGGGAACAGCCGCAGAAGTTAAATTCACACCCTACCTTACTCCAGGTTAACTTTCAAGTGCCGACAAGACCAGAGCATTTCCACCCAGGACACTCCCCTGCTCTTCCCTCTCCCAGAGCGCTGTGTGTGAAAGCCCTGGCGCAGCACAATGGCTTGTGACCCCCTGGGAGGAATTTCTTGGCTCCGGCCCGTCGCAATCAGACCCTCGAGTTAGGATGCATTTTGCACTTCATGCAATTTCTTTTGTTTCCGCGGAAGAGCCCAAAAACCCAGGCAGGCTCCTCCCCTGCCAAGCAGCAGGCTCCCAGGCGGAGTTAACACATGCATCCTGCCCCCGCCAGAAGGGCAGGGCCCACGCCCGCCGCTGAACCAGAACAGAAACAGCTTTACTTCCAATGCACCCAGCACCCAGGGGGGAAATCCTCCTCGGGAGCCTGGTCCTACCCCATGGAGGCTGCTTTGAAGCTGCAGGAAGAGGGGAGACCCGTAACCCGGTGCTCCTCCGCGAATAGCTGCCAATTGTATTTGCATTTTGCATTTTTTTTTTAAACCCTCAGGGAGACCTCAGGAGCCAGGCTCCGCCTGGAAAGGATTTTCATGACCGCAGCTAAAACCCACAGAAAGCAGGGGGCTAGGATGGAAACCGGTCGTTCCCGGGCTCCGCTCTGAGCAGCTGGGACTGTTTCCCCAGTTAAGTCGATTAGTATTGCTCAAGCCCACGCTGGCTCTCAAAGGGGCGCCGCGGAGAGGCTGACTAGTCACTCCTCTCCCCGGACGAGGAGCTGCGAGCGGAGCCGGTTTAGGGGAGCTCCAGCAGCCCGGGCAAACACACGCCAGCCAGCAAAGCCGTATTCACACGTCAGGGTAGATGGCCGGGCTCTCTCGTGCCCTCACAGCTGCCATATTTTAGGGGCCACATCTGTGCATGGGATGCGCCAGCTCGGTCAAACATCCGCAGCAGCTGGAAGGGATTCCCGGGCCCACGAGACTTCAACCCAGCAAAAACCGGGATCTTGGGCTCAGTTTCCTTGAAAAAAACAACCCCAAGAGCTGCTTCTGCCAGCCCTGCAAGGGCGCTAGCGGACAATGCTTCTGCAACCCTCCCAGCCGGAGCTATCGAATGGCGCGGATCTAATGCCTCAAATCCGTACAACGATCCATTAACCAGAGCCAGCCTTGCGTTTCAGGGGATGCTGTTTCTGTCATTGCTCGCGATGGAAGGACGAGCTGGCGGATCCTGCAAACCCCTTCCCCTCGCTGAGCTCCCGCGGCAGACCACGCTGCCGACTTCGAATAGCTCGTGACAAGCAGAAGTTTCTCGTTTCGCAACCAGGAGCTCGAGGGCGCGGGGAAGAGCCAGGGCGTGGAAGTCCGGACACATCCCTGACCACTTTCCTCCCTAACCTTTACGCTCTTCGTTAAGCGGACAGAGCGACTGGCCTTCCCACGCGTACGTGCCGGCCAGCGGGACAGTATGGATTAGAAATGGGAGATGAGCCCGGCTCGGGTTCCCAGGGACACTCTTGTTCTGGGCAAAGGCTTCGGTGGCGACAGGGCTCTTCCCCACTAGCTGAGGTCTCCGGGCAGGCAGGAGCCTCCAGCGCTAACGAGTTAATTCGCGGCGACTCTTCGGAGAGGATGGTTTGGAGAAGGGAGTGCTCAGCTCAGGGAAAGCTCAAGCAGCCGCGACCGAGCTGCGGTTAAAACAAGACACCAATGACTCTATTCAGCCCAGAAACCTCAGACAGTTTCCATTTTCTCAATAACAAAGCATTTTTGTGCGGTGAGGTAAGAGGCCTCCATCTGCCAGGTCTAACTCTCCACTAGGATTTCTTAAGAGAGCCGTTGAATGAGCGCGGGCCGTTCGTGCCAGAGAGGGCGTGCAAAAGGCAGGCGGGAACAAAGGGACAAAGGGAAAGCCTTCTGGGGGAAAGTCACACGCGTCCCCTTTGCAGCCGGCCTCGGGCCACTCTTACCAGGGGCTCCCGTCACTGCAGAGGAGGAAAATCCACCCGCGGAGGAAAGACTGGGCCTTTCGAATAGGAAGGGACAGGACCAGGCAGGGAAATGGAGCCGAAAACCCCGGGTTGATTTTATACATGCAGAGATTCACGCGGCACATGGGCTCTGCAGCCTGCCCGCATCGCCCCGCGTGGCAGAGCATGCACAGCCCGTGCGGAGACACGCACGCCACGGCTTCGGGGACTCGCTGCTCGGGGTCAGACGCATCCCTCGTAGCTCTGCGGTGCGCCACGCTGAGCCGGGCAAGGCCGCAGGCCACGGAGCCCCTAGACTAGGCACGCTAGTCCTGGCAGAGCTGGGCAATCCAGTGCCCGGCTCACTGCATGCCCAGCTGCTCCGCGGAGACAAACCACCTCCAACCTCCCCATGGGCAATCCTGGCCTCGGCGTTTCCACCATTGCTTGCTGACCAGCTCCCGCACAACCTCCCCACCGTCCTTTCCCTGGGAGCTGTTGGATTAACTGCAAAGAGATGCAGCAGAAGGGCGCTGCTCTACCACTCGCTCGGCCCTGACCTCAGAGCCCACAAGCCAGCAGCCTCCCACACCTTTGATGCTGGGCTTTTGGAAACCTTTCTTGCTCTGGCCCCAAGGCCTGGTGCATGTGCTCTGCAGCTAGGAGCCCGGAAAGGGCTGGGGTTTTGAGGGTCCTCCCAACACCCTTCCCAGCAAACGGGAATTCAGCTAAACCAGTGAAGCCCTCGCCCCCTGCCCAGGCCTCGTGGAAACAGTGCACGTTCCCTGTGCACAGAAGCCACGAACTGATGTAGGAGGAAGACCTTGTGTCTCCTTCAGGGGCAGGAACAGGGAAAACGTCTGCAAAGGGAGGATGGGAGCAAGTCAGACGCACGAGCCAGGAGCGACGTGGGAAGTGCTTGGCTGCTCGAACCTGCCGGTACCCTCAGCCGGGCCGTGTCCTTCCCCAGAGCCACGGGGAAGGATGGTGCCGGATGCTGGGGACGTGCTGTGCTTAGCTGGCAGAGCACGGCGCTGCACACTGGACTCAGTGGGGTGGCTCTCCTGGGAGCCGGGCCTCTGCTGTCCCCTGCGCTTGTGCACATTAGTGTTGTGGTCCCCCGTGCCGACCCCCACAAACGTCCTCCCTGCACTTACCAGTCGTGCCACGTTCAATCTCATCAGCCCCCAGGGGCCAACAGACGGTCTGGGAAGACGCACCAAGAGGAAAAGCAATCACTACTGGCTTTTTGGGGTGCAGGAGGAGGGGGATCTGCCTGCTCCCAGATCGCAAAGCGCAGCCAGAGGCATCCAAAACTCTCTGCCCTAAGACTTCCCGTCCAAGGTCGACAAAATCCCAGCCTCCCCCGCCGTGAGGTCAGTCCTTGTTACTTGCCTCAAGTTACATCAGCCCGCAAGACTCGGGAGACGACACTGCTGCACAAACACCGCGGAGCGAGCTGGGTGGTCTTCAATTAGCATCATGCCAGACTGCGGCCGCTGGAGAAGTGACACAAGAAGGGCAAAGCACTAAGCAGCTTAACGGGGAAGGATGGGTGCTGGGCTCACGCGCTGGCTAAGAAGCAGGCTGGCGAGTCCCAGGCCCTGAACCCAACCCCCATGGCACACAAGTGTGCATTTATCTCTGCACAGGACCCACCCATTGCCACATCCCCTTTCCATTAGTCTCCTCTTTCCCAAGCTCTTCACCCTGACTTGAACTGCTCCGAGAAGCCCGCAGCACGCCAGCCGTGGACAATCAGCTCCTGCAAAGGCGTGCTTGCAAAACCAGACTGCAAGACATTCACTTGTACCGATACAAGAGCCAGCCTGCGGGTGCAACGGTAACCGCACCATCCTCGGGCTTAATCCAAGCGGCACCACTGACTT